ACGTCACCTATTAATGTTTGCACCTGAGATGGGCTGGTCAGCCGTGTGCTGTTCCTCATCTTCTAGGGATTCCGATTCCCTTTATCTGTGGGGGAGTTACTCCTGAATGTTTAATACTTGGATCTTGTTTGACACCACTTCAGGGTTGTGTGTTGACTTGTACTTTGTAAACACACTCCAGGGGAAAGTGCAGTCAAAGTGTACAAAGATCTTAAGAAGCTCTCTCGACTCTTCAAAGACCAGCTGGTGTACCCTCTTCTGGCCTTCACACGACAAGGTGAGAGATGGGGGTCACAGGAGGGAGAGGGTAGAAGGGGAGCGGGAGGAAGGGAGGGGAGTGGAGAAAAATGTATAGCTCAATAAAAACATAAAAAGTACAGTTTCAGATAAAGCTGATGATCAAGACCTATCACCTTCTGAGAGAGAGGCAGTGACAGCTTTTGATGAGCATGTGGGGAAACCTAGATGTTCTGTACTCAGTAACTCCCGTTGCTGCTGTTCCCCATCTAGTACTGAACCTTCCAGATGTATTTGGACTGGTCGTCCTTCCGCTGGAGCTGAAACTGCGCATCTTCCGACTCTTGGATGTTCAGTCTGTCCTGGCTTTGTCTGCCGTCTGTCATGACCTCCAGATTGCATCAAACGACCCTCTGCTGTGGCGGTGTTTGTATCTGCGGGATTTTCGAGGTGATTTACATAACGACATGTTGATGGGAGAAAGGCTCCTTGTCACCGTGGTTGCCATGGTATTACTCAGCTGGCTAAAGTTTTTAAGTAGAGTTTTTTCCCCTGCTGTTCTGTTTATCTACAGCTTGTTAAAGGAGTAGCTTTTGAGAGAAGAAGCTCTGGCTTCCTAATGTTGGCCTGTGCCACAGATACTCTCTCTACTCCTTTCTTTCATATTTTCTGCAATACAACCCTTTGGCCCCAGTAAATTTATGTTAGGATACAAAATAGAAGACAGGTTTATTCCATCTGAAAGAGCATTTTCAGTCTCTGACTTAGAATAAACTGCACTTCTATACACTGCCTTATGGGACCAGGGTCAGCTCACAGCTGCTCACCTTTGGAGGACCAGGGTCAGCTCACAGCTGCTCACCTTTGGAATGCTGTTCTGGCTCTTTGTTTGTAGTGGTCGCATTTGTGACTAAATGGTCATTGCAGCAGTGGTCAGACATTAGATCTTGTACACCAGGATTTCCAGGTCAAGGCCAGAAAGAGCCTGACTGTGAGCTTCTCTTCTGCCAGTACTGACTTGTTAGTGTTTGAAGCTGTTGTTTTGAATGTAGGGTGGTCGAAAGTTGACTTAATGGGTTAGTTCACAAGGAACACCACCACCAAGGTAGAAAAAGAGAAATGAGCTACATCAAGTAGTATTTACTTGCTACGTGGTTTCTGTCAAAAGCGTTTTAATGAAAATGAATGCGTTGTTAACATACTACCTTAGCCGTGGAAATCTGGTGTGTAGACCCCCACTCCCCCTGACAGAATGTCATAGAGTCATTTAGATTCTTGAACTTTAAGAAGTGAGTGAATTAGATCCTTCCTTTTCTTTTTGGATCTTAAAGTCTTCATTTGACTTTGCTTAAAGCCCTTAGAAGTAAAACTTGAAGTGTTCCTTTGTGACAGTAGGCAGCAAGTGTGGTAACCAAAGAAATCACAGTTAATAGGAAGCACAGGGCCAGGGATGTGACTCAGTAGGTGGAGTGCTTGCCTAGCATGTACTGGGCCCTGGGTTCCATCCCCAGCAGTGCATAATCCAGGAATGGTGGGCATGTCTGTAATCCCAGCATGTGGGAGGCTAAAAGGCAAGAAGGTTTCTGTAATTCAAAGTTGGTCTGAGTTACCAAGTAAAACCTTATCTTAAAAAGAAAAAAAATCTGATGAACAAGTAGTTAAAAGACACAGTAATCTACACGGAACAGGTGACAAGGAAAGCTGACTACGGAGTAAAGTCACATGAGAGGAGCAGACGCCCGCTCACCTGCGTGTTTGACCATGGTGTGAAGTCATGTGAGAGGTGCAGACACCCGCTCACCTGCGTGTTTGACTATGGTGTGAATTCACGTGAGAGGTGCAGACGCCCGCTCACCTGTGTGTTTGACTATGGTGTAAAGTCACGTGAGAGGTGCAGACACCCGCTCACCTGTGTGTTTGACCATGGTGTGAAGTCACGTGAGAGGTGCAGACACCCGCTCACCTGTGTGTTTGACCATGGTGTGAAGTCACGTGAGAGGAGCAGACACCCACTCACCTGCGTGTTTAACTGCTGTTGGTCTGTGGTTCGTTCCTGACTGTGGTGTGCAATTGTATGGGAGTAGAGCAATGGTTCTCAGCCTTCCTAACACTGTGACCCTTTAACACAGTTGCCTGTGTTGTGGTGACCCCCAACTATAAAGTTATTTTCGTTGCTACTTCATAACTGTAATTGGCTACTGTTATGAATCATAATGTAAATATCTGTGTTTTCCAGTCGTCTTAGGTAACCCCTGTGAAAGGGTCATTCAACTCCCAAAGGGGTCATGGCTGCCATAGGTAGAAAACTCCTGGGCTAGAGAGCTTTCCTAAACTTCCAAGCTAGATAATAAGTTGTAGAGATGCCATGGGCAGGTTTTTCCTGAACTCCTCATTGGACTTGAAGTTGACTGATTTTTTTCCCCTCATTTCATATATTTTAAGTACATTTAAACCAGTTCTGTGTGTTATTGTCACACTCTTGGTAGTGAAGCCATGTAGAGACTGGCGGGAAGGAAGTATATACCCACTACAGAAGAAGGCCTGGTCAGTTAGACTTCAGTAATGAATGTGGGCTGTAATATATTTACTTAAGAGAGACTGCCAAGCTGAGCCGGTACTCCAGACATGTCTTAGGGGCAGCTGGCACAGCTGCATGGGCCTGCAGCCTGCAGCAGAAGACACTTATGGACGAATGAGTGGCTGTCCGCAGTGTCCCGAGGCATCTGCCTGAACTCATGGGGCAGTGCACAGGGCAGTGGTGAGCAGCTGACTGACGCACACTAGTGAGTGCAGTGCTCGTGTCCAGATGCCTCCTGTTCCTCCTCACTTGGTGGGCAAGTCCAGGTTCACTGTAATACTGGATGCATGAAGTGGTTTTAATTGTTTTTCTTTGGTTTTGGTTTGCAGATGGTACTGTCAGAGGTCCAGACACAGATTGGAAAGAAGTAGGTATTTTTAAATATGAAGACTAACGTTTATGACTCAAATAACTGAGTCAATAGAGAAAGGTGTCTTTTCACTTTTAATGTGATGTGATGAAATCAATTTAAATTTATTGTTAAATATTGCTACTGAAAATGTTTTCAATTTTAGGCTTAGTCCTTGTTTTCTTGGAACTACAAAGAAAAGTCTTAATAGTTTTTCATTGAAATAGGAAACAGGCTTATTTTTTTTTTCACAAAAATAATTCTGGCTGGGCAGCGGAAGTAAACGCCTTTAATCCCAGCACTTGGGAATCAGGTGGCGGATCTTTGTGAATTTGAGGCCAGCCTGGTCTACAAAGCGAGTTCCAGGAACAGAGAAAAGCCTGTCTTGAAAAACAAAACAAAAAAATCTGTCATTGTTGTGTTTAGGAAATCTAAAGCTGTTAGATAGCATGGTGAAAAGAATAAGAGACATGGTATTTTTTGTTTTGTTTTGCTTTTTGTTTTTCGGGACAGGGTTTCTCTGTAGCTTTGGAGCCTGCCCTAGAATTAGCTCTTATAGACCAGGCTGGCCTCGAACTCACATAGATCAGCCTGCCTCTGCCTCCCGAGTGCTGGGATTAAAGGGGCGCCACCATCGCCCAGTTAAGAGACAAGGTTTATCTGCAGATTTCGATTGTAAAAACCATTGCTAGGCCTGATAAAAAACTATTTGGGATGAAGGACTAAAGAAAATAATTGAATGAAAGTCCTTAGATGCTTGCAGAGTAGACAGAAGTGTTCTTGAGTGTGCGTCCTGCCCTTTAACAGATCCTCTTATTATGTTAAATTGAAATCCACTAGGGATGAGAAACATGAAATCGCCTGTAGTAGCTGACCACTCACATGTCTCCCCTCCCTTTTTTCTACAGCTGTACAGAAAGAGGCACATACAAAGAAAAGAGGCTCAGAGAATGCGACACGCAATGTTCCTGCCATCGTCCTCCCATTCTGTCCCATTCTGTCCCATTCCTGTCTACCCCAGGGTCACTTTTCCCCCTTCACTGCTTCCTCCAGGAATCATTGGCGGTGAATACGACACAAGACCTATCCTGCCCAGTGTTGGGGACCCTGCCGGCTCACTCATCCCAAGGCCAGGGGAGATACCTAACCCATTTCAGCCGCTCAGACCACGATTTGATCCTGTTGGCCCACTTCCAGGACCTGACCCCCTCTTCCCAGGAAGAGGTGGCCCCAACAACAGATTTCCCTTCAGACCCAGCAGAGGTCGACCGGCTGACAGCCAGCTACCATTCATGTGACCAATTTGGAGGCTTTGTTGAAACCACACTGCTGTTTCCTTGGACGGTGACCTTGGCTGTCAGTTTCTGGTTGTGGCACCAAGGACAAGGTTACTCAGAGCCGGGGTGACTTTGGGAAGATTGACTGCTGGTCCCTGCTCTGGAATCACCTCTGGGATGGAGCTTGTGGTACTGATTATATTCTGTGCTAGATTAATAAAAGTAAAAATTATATGGTGGTCTTGACTTTTGTTAAAGATACATTTAGTAGTCAAGCCTTATTCATACTGCTAATTTTTATATTTGAAAATTATCGGGGTGCTTCTGAGTGTGAGGAGGTGACTTATTACAGGTGGTATCTTTGTTTTGCAGAGATGTCAGTCGGGTGAAAGCTGAGCTTACACATCCTAATAAAAGCTGAACTAGTTTGCTTGAACTACCATTTCTTTTTGAGCAGCTTTTCTGGATTCTGTGAGGAACTTCTAAAGCTCTGAAGGCCATTGGGTTGGTACAGACTTGTTCCCAACTAGGATTTCCCTGTTGTGTTTGGTATCTGAGATCCTGGGTCTTGACAGCAGAGTTCTGCAGGCACTTTTACTGGAAGAATATTGTGCTTTTAAGACTTGAAATACTCAAAATTCAACATTTATTTATTCTACAAGAAAAGGCCCAAACACAAATGACTTTCACAAATAACTATAGGAACATGCTATAGTGACAAGTTTAAATCGAACTGCTGCACAGGGATAAATGCCATTAGCGTCTGCAGGAAATAGGACTAGTGCCACTGTCTTCTGATTTTAAAAACCTGTTTTGCATATGAGGAAATGGCTTAGAATGTATGCTGCAGGAATATTAGTCCTGTGTTCAAGTGAGACTTTGCTACACATGTGTTTCGAGTCTTTGCATCACAGTGAAGAAAATTCAGTCTGATATTTCTATAAGCTACGTGATCTTTAATGAAGAAGAGGATCTGGGCTGCTTAGGTTTCTGTGTTCTATAGGACAGTCTTCTTAATGCCCACCGAATACCATAGGCTTCATTTGCGTATGGTTGAAAGGGTCACCATGAAGATTCCACTTCAAAACACGTCTTTGTAGCTGGACGTTGTTGCCCCATGTAGTGTGTGTGCACGCGTGGCGTGGGAAACGGAAGACCAGAGCACCAAATGCAAGTTTTCAGAACACAGCCATTTCCAGATAGGCCCGGGAGCCCCTGATGGTGCCGGTCCACCCTCACTCAACTTGACTGGTAGATGTTGCAAGTTTGAGTTTAAGGTGCTGAAAGAGTGCTCTAAATCTAAACGTAGGCACCTCTCAAAAATTCTTATTAAAGAGTCCTCAAAGCATTTTCTCTTGACTAGCAGCTAATTTTATATTTAGAAGCTTAGAAAATCTTGCATCCTTGTCTTTAGACTGTGAGCTTTTGTGTATTGCTGATAACATAATGGGTGGAATCCTGACTTGGCAGCGGCTTCTTCGCTCTGCGGCTTTGTGATGCCATCTCCATGCATTGCAACGGGAGCAGGACAGCCTAGAAGCCTCTCGCAAGTGCTTGAGAATGGTGCAGCTCCAGTGCGTTGGCTTGTAGTAGCCTTCCATCTTTCTTGGCCTCTAAGTTCTCCTATAGTCACCTTTTAGTAATGGGAGCTTCTCCTCCCCTTACCACTATAAACAGAAAATGCCCATTGAGCATGGCTGGTAACTCAGTCCTGGCAAGAACCCTTTCCAACTCTTGACTCCCTGTGTAAAATCCTGAATTCTCTAGCTCTTTCCTTCCTTCTCAGTTTCCGAGGCCACTGTTTAACTTGATGGCTCCTTAATTCTTAACCAGTCGAACCAGATACTCCTCCCTTTCCTTCTTCTGTTCAGAGTTGGTTCCCAGGTCTGTTTTCCTCCTACTCTGCTGATTTGAGCCTTGGAGAAGAGCTGGGCAGGTGCTCTGCTGTGCCCTAGTGCGGGTAAGGCTCTGTCAATACTGTGCACAGATGAGATTATTGCAGTGTGCTAGGCAAGTCATGGAAAGATGTGTGTACACGTTTGTCCCCCTTGGCCTGCGGGAACTCTGTCTGCTCTACCTTTCTCTGCTTCCCCAGTGTTGAGATTACAAGTGCTCACCACCTTGCCCAGCTTTTCAGCATGGGTCGAATACAGGTCGTTGGGCTTGCACTGCAAACACTTGATTGAACTGTATCTCTCCAGCCCCTAAAGACTTAATTCAAGCTGACTTCTTGTTTTCTCTACTAGGAATCCCAAGTGAGTTATAACACTTATTTCTGTAGTAAAGTGCTGAGTGTAAGAGGTGTTAACTCGAGTCTTCTTGAGACTCAATGAAAAGTAGGCGGTTTTGTTTTTTTCCTCTGGGTCTACCAGTTAGATCTGATTATGAAGGCTGAGTGTGCATGTTTCTTCAATCTCAGCTCATGTTCTGTGGGAACACAAGAGAGCTTCTGTGTCCTTTACGCTCTGCGCTTGACAAATGGACCAATCAGCCTTGCTTGTTGTCCAACCTTCCCCTTTGTTTTCACTGCAGCCCAAAGTGCTGCTGCTTATGAAACTCTAAATATTAAAACAGTTTAATCAGCTGCTAAGGTCTAGGATCCAGCTTAGTTGTATCAGCCAGCGTGGCTCTGGGATAAACTAGAGATACATGAGCAAGGGTTCTCACAGTGAATGGGCTGGTCCCTGTGACAGTAATGTTACCACTTGTATGTGCAAAACTTGCTTAATCAACACCTGTCACTAACCTGCAGCCACTCACACTTCTGTTGACACAGAATGAACCACTAAGCTATAACAAAGGACAAGGTATTGACTGGCTGGTTGCTGGGAGCTGGTACACCCTGTCCGAGGACTTGTTTACAAAGCTGAGCTATGTTTGGTTGGTACAGTCCACACGGCTCTCATGTAGAGAGCCACTTTCTTTCCTTTGCTACATGAGTGCCGGCAGTATGGTCCTGGATGCCCACTGCCACCTCCTGTGACCCACGCTGACCTTGACAACTCTGGTCTCCAGGAAGTTGTGTACCCTAGGAATATGCTCCCCAGGGGCTAGTGTCTTCCTCTCAGTCTTTCTGTTACCCTTCCTGTCTAGATGCAGTGCAGAAGTCTTTGGGGATGGCGGGAGGGGAGAAAGAATCTCCAATCTTAATCTGTCATGTACATGTCACTGATTTCTTAACTTTGTAGGAGAGTCACTTGAGAGTCCTGAACACCTGTCACTGAACTGCACCAAGCTCCTGTGCCAGATCCCAGGTGCTCAGCCAGCTTGCTTCTTTGGGGCGTGTCATATATATTCACAAGAGAAATTCCCGGAGCAGCGGCTACTCCGCGACATGGAGTTTTTAGCTGATTTTTTTTTCTTTATGAACGTGAAGAACTGCCACTCTTGATACTCCAGGAATACAGTCATCTGCATCCTAGAAGTGAATACAGCAGCCAGGAGGCCTTGAGGGGTCATCTGGTCCTGGTGACAGGCAGCCTGGAGGAAGCGTGCCGTGGCTGTTTTGAGGTGTCCTTTGGGGCTGTGTTTGGAAGTCCCTGGTCACTGTATGTAAACTGAATGGGTCTTTGTTGTGTTTCAGCTTCCTTAAGTCAGCGTGGAGGGAAAATGCTCTTGTTTGGGTCAAAATTGTAAAAGCAAAACCCAATTCATATAACCTTTCAGAATCTATTTACAGTGACTTCTCCCCTTTCCTTTTGCCCTTATGCACCTCTAAATGTCATAATTATTGAAGGCTGAAGTTTTGGGAGCAACATGTACTAGCTTACGGGTGAAAACAATCCATTGGAGATGTGGCCGACATGGGACCTGTATATACCCTTTCCCTCTGTTTCCATTCCCAGGCCAGTTGGAAATCATTCGGAAGTGCTGGCTGCAATCTAGTGTTACACCAGGGTCTGGCTAGACATACCGGCTTGATGATAAAAATCAGAGTGTCCGGCCTGATGCAGATTTTGAAAGACATTTGTGTTACTGCAGTTGGGATTCTGGACGGATGCCATTGAATGCTGAGATGTTTTTAGGGGCAGAGTCAAAGTGGGGACATTTTGGCCACATGGTCATTTATGGAGCTGCTAGTTCTGTCTAGCAAAGGGGCAGGTCCCTAGCAGGGCTGGCAACTGAAGCATATCCATGTCTGCCCTGCTTAGGAACAGCAGCCCAGCCTCAGCTGGCCTCCAGAACACCCAGAAGCTGACCCAGCCGTAGGTTCTGAGCATTCTCACTACACGTTCATACTCCTGTTATCTGAAGCAAAGGTTCCTCTGCCTTTACACCTAGTTCTGTCCAGGGCCGTGGCTGTCACTTTGAGAAACTTCTTGCTGCCTGGTACCACTCCATGCCTGCAGCTGTGTTTTATTATTGAGACATGGGTGAGGCTACTATAGAGCGACGGCTGCCACAGGTGTTCCCCGTGTTCTTACCTGCCTAAAGCATGGCTTCTCCGTGATGTTATCTTAGCAGTACATCTCTCTTACCCTTTTCCAGAATGCAAGGTCACCCGCCAACACACTCACACATGTGTGAGGCTGTTAGACTATTACCAACTGGGGCAGAGCTTTCTATAGGAGCAACTTCAGCTATCTTTGTCAGGAGCAAAGGGCCCAAGCCCCTTACTTCTGTGAGGCTCTTGTACTGATTCCCTCCACATGGGCCTCATGAGTGAGCCCTGGCTTCTCAAGGTCTGATATAGAACAGCAGTCTTACTGAAGCAAGCCATCAGGGAATACTATGAAATTAGGTAATGGGGTTTTAAGATGTTACCTTTCCTTTTTCCATTCTTTCTCCCTTCACTTCCCTTACCTTCCTTTCTTTTTGTTTTTTGTTTTGGTTTTGTTTTTTTGAGACAGGGTTTTTCTATGTAGCCCTAGCTTTCCTGGAACTTGCAGAGTCTGGCTGGCCTCGAACTCAGAGATCCACCTGCCTCTGCCTCCGGATTGTTGGGATTAAAGGCATGTGCCACCATGCCTGGCAAGATGTTACATCTTAATGTGTTCATTTTGGTCATTAACCAGGCACGTGTATGTGTGTGTGTGTGTGTGTGTGTGTGTGTGTGTGTGTGTGTGAAGGAGGAGGGAGGAGGGTGCTGGGGGACCTGAAAAGGGCACTCACATCTCCTGGGGTAGACAATCAGAAAGCCAACATCCATCATCTTCTCTAGAACTCACTTTAGCAGACTATCTTTGACAGTCCTAGTCTTACCTCTGCCCCATCCTCCTTTCTACCTCACCTAGCTTTTTCCAGAGGTTCTAGAGAAAGATGCAAGAGCTAAATAAGAACAGAGGAGGAGCAGGAAGCAGCAGCAATATTCTGTGGATTCGTTGACTGACCTTTTTTTCTTCCTTTGGATAACCTACCTAAATCATGGCTGGGAGTGCTGGCCTCAAGACCTCCTCTTCCCTCATCAGGGAGTGGGTGAGGGACAGGAGAATCTGCTGACTGTTGTGCCAAGTGTCTTTCCTTGTTCTGGGTCATCATCCCCATCATCCTCGAGAAGAATTCTGGAAGCTTTTGCCAGCCTCTTTCTGTGATCGAAGAGCAGTTGAGCAAAATGAGGGCGAAGTGGGCAGGGTGGGTGTAGGCAAGCCCCAGGGACCGTCCTGCACACACACTGAATTTAGGAATAAAAGAGTTGGGCTTGGTTGGTACTGGGAAGTGCAGACCTCCAGCCGTTCATGCCTCACTTCACACCACAGGCTAGTCAGTTCCAACTAGGCGAAGCCCTGCAGTCTACAGCTCCAAACCATGGTCTCAGTAGTCTCTGGACCTTCACAATGTAGAATCACATCAGCTGTTTATTCCTCCAAACCAAGGATGTGGAAAGAGGCCAAGGAGGGCTTCTGAAATAACCAGCGTGCTTGCTCTTGATATTGACTTGATCATGAGGGAGGAGAAGGCAAGGAGGAAGAGGATGACCCTGAGGGCCAAATGGATCTCTGCAGCCAGGGCCAAAGCTGCCACTTTTGATGCTGAGCTGATCCCTTCTGGAAACCAGCTTGAAGATGCAATTCTGCAGAAATGCAGGGTTCTAAGTGAGCCAAGGCAGGAGAGGGTCTCTACCCTTGTCTTTGCTACTCCAATCTGGGCTGGGAGGACTAAGAAAAATGATGAATGCTTGCTGGATGTGGTGGTTCATTCAGGAAATCTCAGCACTTGGGAGGCTGATAAAGCAGAAGAGTCACCATGATTTTGAGACTTGCTTGGGCTACGTTCAGCCCGAGTTGCTGAATGAAACTCTGTTCCAAGAAAACAAGCAGAAAACTCCCCAGAGACCATAGTGGCTGCTTCTGTGTTCCTGGAGACCTGGAAAAACCTTAGATGATCACCAAGGCTATGCAGAACTTGAGCATAACCAGAAACTGCTCCCGTTAAAAACCCTTCCCTCCCTTGCAGCGTGCGGGGAAGACACACCTCAGGTGGCTGAGGGCGCTGTGCAGATCTGCATGGCTGTGTTCTGATATCCTGGGTCGTCTCGGGATCAGGATGCTGCTGCTGCAACCTACAGTGTTTCTAGCACCAGGTGCTTGGTGATGCGTTCCGGGAGCAGTCTGGTGCAGGGGAAGGAGCATACGCGCACTGGAAGGGGAGTCAGGACCACTTTGCCTAGCTCTGCAGCCAACCATCTGAGTCATAATGGCCGAGACCAGGTTGGAGTGGAACTTTTTCTGGAAGAGATTCCAAAAGGCTTCAATGTGTGTCCTGTGTTTTGTGTTCCACAAAGAGAAACACATGCACTGTTTCTGAAGGTTGTCCCACCAGACCTTTTGTAAACGCGGGGGCATTTACATTATTTACATTACTGACACCTTGTTCAGAGCAGGTAGAATGCTGAACCATATAGAACCCCTCACGATGTCTTCTCATGCAACAGGGAGCTACCCACTCCCTTTGGGTTCCCATCTAACCTTGAGGGAAAAGCAAATTCTGTGTGAGGTCAAAGAGACACAATCCTATGACCCTCTTCACAGGGGGCACAGGCTCTTCTCCTCTGGATTCCTGCTGTTGGCTCTAAGCCTGGGTAGCATTATGTGGGGGTCCCTCTACTCTGTTCTGAAAGGCCCCACTTGTTGCATAGGGTCTAGCTTCTTTCTTTCGGCATCAAGATCCCTAGGAGGTCCAGCTGCGATGGGGCCTTTGTCAGCCTACTCCCAGCAAGGATGGCACTAGCTTGCTCTGGGTGGGTAGTAGGCTCCTAGGCTGGGCTTCCCTATTTCTGTCTGCAAAAACACCATTAAAAAGTATTGCCTCTTGTGTTGCTGAGGTCCAACTACAATGTCTGCATTTGATGGAGGTAAGTCAAGGCTTCGAAGCGGGCCTCTGCCCAAAGGCAAGCAAAACACTAATAAGAATGCAAAACCAAGCCACACAGATATCTTACTGGGTACCGTCAGCAGGGGAGCAAGCATATGGTGGGTGTAGTGATGTCTTATCTGTCTAGAACGTCCGCCCTGAGGAGCCCAGTGGCTCTCAAGGCTACTGCTCAGTCAGGTGGCATTGGAATGTCACGGTCAAGGAGGTGGGAATGCGCGTAGATCATCAGTTCCTGGGTCAGAGGCATCTAGGAAGTGTGTTTCCACCAGGAACCGAGGCTGAGAAGGAAGGAGCCAGAGAAAGTCTCCAGTCATCGAGTCTTCCTGCCTTCCTGCTCTTCAGCCCGAGGAGGAAGCTAGTCGGAGAAGAGGCTGGCAAAGGACTTCCTCAGGTTGCGGATGGTCTCAGCCTTAGCCTCGTCTTCACTTGGGGTCCCTCGATGGGAGGCATCTGACGTACTGAGGCTGTTAGTCAGGGACTGAGATTTGCTGAAACAGAAAGCAAGAGTTTGGGGATGGTCATGGCTGGGACTCTCAAGGGAATGAGTCTGGAGCCAGCTGTAAAGTCATCAAAGGATGTTGAGACCTGAAATCAGGCATCACAGTGTGTATAGGATGCTAGCCTAGAATTTACAAGGTGGCGGGGGGTATCACATTCATTTTCTTAGGTCTAGAAATCGGGGTTTCCAGAGGCAAGTACGGCTTGGATAGACCTTCCAGCAAGAAGTAGGGAGCCCTTACAGCTTCCATTCTTTCCCCCATCCCAGGCTGCTCTCTAATTTGTCAGCCATAGTGGGCCATACCAGGTTCTAGTTATTCTCAGAGGTCCCAGCGTTAGCTGAGAAACCAGATAGTCCCTGTTCTAGATCCCCTGTCTCAGCTGAGGGATTTTCCAGATAGGAGAGGCCTGTGGTCCTGAACATGAGTATTGCATTGGTTGTTAATTGATATAGGAAGGCCCAGCCACCGTAAGTAGCGCCATTCCCTGGACAGGTGGCTTTGGGCTATGTGAGAAAACTAGCTAAGCAGGAGTCAGTGAGCAAGTCAGATGACAGCTTCTACTTCAAGGTCCAGTCTGAGTTCATTTCCTGATTTCTCTCAGTGATGAACTGACCTGGAAGCTGAAACAAATCCTTTCGTCTCCAAAGTTGTTTAGAAAAAAAAATTCAAGATTTTTATTTGTATTTTATGTGCATGGGTGCTTTGTCTGCATGTTTCTCTGTGCATTACATGCATGTTGGAACCCATAGAGGCCAGAAGAGGGTGTTGGATCTTCTGGAAATAGTTACAGATGGTTATTAGCCTCCATGTGGGTGCTGGGAACTGAACCCTGGTCCTCTGATTGAGCGCTCTTAACTACTGAGATACTTGTCCAGCTCCTCTAAAATTGTTTTTTTGTCAGAGTGTGTTATCACAGCAACAGGAAACCAGAATAACAGGAAAATGATTTTTTTTTCAGCTACATAAATTGACATTTGTTTGTTACACAGCAAATGGTGACCAATACAGGGATCATGAGGACGTGGTGGAGCCTAATCTGTACTCTCAAACTGCGTCCCTGCTACACAAATGCCACCCTATAGGTCCACTTTTGGACCTTGGATTCTCAGCCAGGCTGTGGTAGGTTCTTTGTTCCTGATCCTGAATCAGCTCATCTTTGGATATACTCTAACTCTCCTCGATATCCATTCAGACTCTCAGATACTTACTTGAGGTGGGGGTGAGGTGGTGCTGACTTTTGGGGCTCTTCTCCCTGCTGGGAGGTGCTGCGGCCCTGCACGGGTGGCCGGGGATATGGCTTGGTGGCCTGGTTTGGAGAAGTGCCACCAGATGCCCGGGATAACTGCGGAGAGCCTGGGGACCTCTGCTGCTGTGGAGATCCTGACTGAGGGCTCACAGGCTGCTGGCCTTGTGGGGAAAGCCTCTGTTGGGATGGACTTCTAGATCTGGGAGGCTGGGGAGACTGAGCTTGACGAGGACCCCCTAGAAGCCAAAGAAAGAGTTAAATTTTAATTTGTTTTGGGAATAAATGTAGCTGTGCACTTAACACACATGTTTTTATAGACAAGTTTTTCAATAACTGAAAACAACATAGATGCTAGATCTCAGGGAGGTGGTTAGGAATATCAAGAAACAGCTATATGGCAGGGGACATAGTTCACTTGGTAGAGTGCTTGTTTAGCATACACGAAGCCCTATAATTGATTCCCAGCATGGTTAGGCATGGTGGTGCCTGCCTGTAATTCCAGTATTCAGGAGGCAGAGGCAAGAAGATCAGGAGTTCAAAGTCATCCTTGATGATGTAGAGAATTCAAGGCCAGCATGGGGTACCTAAGACCCTGTGCCAGAACAAAAATACCCACAAGAAAGCATCTATATGGTGGCGTATGGGCTGATTGTCATGTGCTGTGTCAGGGTACCATTAACCGACCTCTTGACAGTATGTGCCACATGCACACCACTACACGGAAGGAGAAAAAGCCGTTTATAAGGTCGTGTGTATTTGTTTCTCATTGCGCACTAATGTATAGAGTAATGTAATAAAGAAACACTGGAAAGTTGCACATTAGAACAGGCAGGTCTTACATGTATGGATGGGTTTGTGGGGGCAACTGCAGCACGTTAGGGATTTGACGTGGTGTTATAGACAGAAACATGCTTTCTTAGATTCAAATGTTGATGCCCTAACCCTCAATGTGGCTGCATTTGGAGAGAGGGACTTTAGAGAGGTAATGAAGGTTAAAGGTCATAGGGTGAGGTTTTGATGCAGTGGGTATGGAGTCCTTATATGAAAAGGAAGAGGAAAGCAGGAAGATGTGGAGTCAAGTGTAGTGACTCAGGAGGTTTTGGCAGGAGGACTGTGTCAAGTTTGAGGCTAGCCTTGGCTACACAGCGAGTTTCATCTAGTCTGTTTAGAGTGGGACACTATCTGAGACACCAAAATGAATTCCCTCTTGGTATAAGACATAGATCTTGCTCTCTTTCTAAAGGGGGTAAACATAAGGAAAATACCGACGGACTCTTGTCTCTGGAAGGGAGGGAGGGAAGAGCAGGGCCCCAGGCAGATGGCAACAGCCCTTACTAACCACCAGGGGATACTGGGTAGGAACACAGTTGGGAGCTTTTCAGAGAGGCTAAAGATTGACCAGGAGTGGGGGTGGGAGACTTAAGATAAAATCCAGGCTTTAAGTAAAAGTGTCACGATTTTTGTACGCTTTTTTTTTGTTTTCTCCACCCAGTGCAAATCAAACAAAACATCTGATTTCTCCTTTTATCTTAAGCCCTCCATCCCCACCCCCAGTTGATGCTATCTTGGAAAATCTGTGTCCTTGTTCAATAACTCATTGAGTATTTCATGTGTTTCTACTTTACCACTGGGATCCATCGGGAGATACTTGGTTGTTTCTTACAGCTTTTTGGCAAAGCAATCAACTTAGTATTTTTTATTTGAGCATATACTATATATATGTATACATACATACATAAAGTTTCCTATGCACAGAATTGACCCTAAAAAGATAAAATTTATTAAAAGAAAACTTCATGTTTACTGAATTTGAAAATGAGTTCAAAACAAATTAATAATGTGATTCTAATTGTTATTTTTAGACATTGGTAAAACTCTCCAAGTAGTTTCATTGACAAACTGGCCTCAGAGATTTCCGCTATCTCCATCTCTCCATCTCTAGGATTACTCTGTCACACTCAGGTTTTATTTTATTTTATTTATTTATTTTATGTGGGTACCGGAGTTCAGAGCCATGTCTTCATGTTCAGAAGGCATGCACTTACCCACTGAGCTGCCTCCTCAGGCTCTTTTGAGACAGGATCTCACACTATAGTCCAGGCTGACCTGGCATTGAACTCAATTGATAGTCCAGAATAGCCTGAAACTCACAGCAATCCTCCTGCCTCAGTTTCTTTTGTGCTGAAACTCATCAGGTCAGGCCTTGTTTGTTATATTTCGAGAAGACTGACCACAGATACTGATGATTAAAACACCAACCTAACAGGTATTTTGACAAATACGGTAACTTTTAGTCCACAGTTAAATATAATTTTGATTATTGTATATGCATTTGGAGTATATTGGAGGGTTGTCAATTTCAAAGGCATTTATATGAGAAAGTAAACTCATCTGGAGGGTTATGTTAAGTATAGGAAGTAATGGGGAAAGTAAGGAAGGAGAGAGAAGGCTGAAAGGGAGGCAGGAGGGGGAGAGGAGGGGCCTCTTTCATCCAGAGCTGTGGAAGAGGAGGAGACCATCTGCTGCCCAAGGTCCACTGCTTCCCAGAAGCAATGAATCTCTAATAGATACGATTAGAAAGTCCAGGACAGGATGGAAACGCCTTCTGTCGAGATTGAGAGAAGGCAATCTCCATGCCAAACTGCTCTGAAACCCAAGCTGGCCCAGAGCAGCCAGGCTGAGCACACGGATCTCCTACAAGGGTCACGGTTGGCAGGTGCTCCCCTTGAGCCCGTGCGTGGGAAACCCTCTACACCTGACCTCCCTCCAGTAAATCTTTAGCTATTCTCACAATCCTTCCTCCTCTTGTTATCCAGCTGGGATTCACCCTCTGACAAACTGCAGCTTTGAGGAAAATGTCAGCAGCTGCGGGTATAATCTGGGTATCTTCCTTTTCTCTTTCTCACTCTGGCTGGTTGGCTCGTAAATGTATGCTCAGGCACCACTAGTGGCTACAAATAACATTTCCCAGAAGGTTTGAAAGTCCAGGCTTGTAAAGCTGCCATCTCCTCACTGTGCCTTCCTGGGCAAAGCTTCAATTTCCTACTTGGGAAAAGGGAGACACTGAGGCTTCCTCTGTAACGTGGCTGGGCGGATAGAAATGAGCACAGAAAGGAACGGCCCTAGCACAGGGCCCAGCACATTAAGTACTCGACAGTCCCAACAGTCCCGCTGTTCGCTCTTTCTAACTCCTTCCTGACCTTAAGGGGACAGCAGCCCTCCTAGCTTCCTCATCCTGCAGACGGAGGGAGTGTTCAAAGCTAGAAGATAAAGTGGGGTTATGAGTAACCCTTTCACCAGGGTCGCCTAAGACCATCAAAAACCACAGATAATTTATATTATGATTCATAACAGTAGCAAAATTACAATTATGAGGTAGCAACGAAAATAGTTTTATGGTTGGGGGTCACGACAACATGAGGAACTGTATTAAATCCGTAGCATTAGAAAGGCTGAGAGCCACTGCTCTGGATGGTCTCCAGCAACGTGTTTTTATTGGTTCAATTATTATTTAATTACTCTGTGCATCAGCACACACCCTTGGATGTGCAAGCAGAGTCAGAGGACCTTGCGTGTCTTCCTCTATTTCTTCCTAGATTACACCCCGTAGACCAGTGGTTCTCAACCTTCCTAACGCTGAGATCCTTTAACACAGTTCCTCATGTCGTGGCGACACCCCCCCCATAAAATTATTTCATTGCTGCTTCATAACTGTAATTTTTCTGCTGTTATGCACTGTAACGTATATGGCTGATATGCAGGATATCTGGTATGTGACCCCTTTGGGGGCCATGACCTACAGGCTAAGAACCACTGCTTTAGACGGCATCTGTTATTGAACTTGAAGCCTGCCATTTCTGCCAGACTAACCAAGAGCTGTCTGTTCCTCCCTTCCCCTAGTGCTGGAGCTACGGGCGTGTTTGGCTGTGCCTAGCTGATTTCCCCGAGTGCTTGGGATTTGAACTTAGGCCCTCACATCTGCACAGCAAATGTTCTTACCTGCTGAGCCCCCTCTCTAGTGTTCTGCCTGGCATTTCGACATTCACACTGATAGAATGTTTCTCAGTGGCTTCCCGAGTCTTACCTTGGGGAGGCGGCCTTGGCTGGGGCTGTCCTAGCTGAGGTCCCAGCTGGCCTTGCCCTGGAGATTTTGCAAGTTTAGTCTGTGGACCCTAGAGCAAGAGAAGAGAAGGGAAGCCTGTGATAACGGAATGTCTGGGTGGGAGTCGAGGCCTTATACAGTTTTTTTCAAAATAATCACTGATGTAAAACACATGATGTATGATTCTTCAGTGTATAGATTTTCAGCATAGCCATGGAGGATGCTGTTTACACCCCTGACCTCCTAGTAGCCAGCCCCTTGAGTTTAACTACTACTCCTGTGTTTATAAAGGGATGAGTTTCTATGGGATAAACAGGGATTGGGGTTGGGGGAGGATTTGAAACTAGCTTTTCCAGAAAGCTGGCAAGCTGGTAAATTCTGTGATGAATGGTTTGGTAGTCCCCAGTGGGGCCTATGCAGGGGAGGGGTAGGAGCTTGCTGGGTTCGGGGATGGAGAAGGAAGAGACACAATAGTCTTTATGGACTTGTGCCCTGAGAACACAGGATATATGTGTACATGCATTCTTGCATACACAGTTGCACACATCCAAGCTCAGGCCCAAGATAGAGACACAGAGATGAACACTGTCAACAGTATGGGCAAAGGCTCATGGAACTGGAGTTTTCTTCCCAGGACATAGGAGGTGGAAAGGAGACCCTGCACTCCTCTGTCCCCATCCCATTCTCCCCCATGATGCTTTCCTGGGGTTATCTCCAATAAACCCTGGGGGTTTTCATTCCATAACCTCCTTTGTTCTCAAGAGAACCTTACCCAAGGTCTCAGGGGTGAGGGCACCGTGCCCCCTGGCACCAGGAGTTGGCTCATCTTGGAGACAACAAGGTCGGCCATTAAATGCTTGTCCTCTTCGACATGCTCTCCAATCAGAGGCATTGAACTGTCCATGACCTAGGAGGAGGGAAAGGAGGCTGAATGACTCTGAGTTAAGATGGCTTGACCTGGCTTCCTGGTCTAGGAGTGTTGACTCTGGGCTCAGGAAGGAATGACCACTAGGTGGCAATGTCCTCCATGCAAACAGCCCAGCTGGCCCCTTCCTGTTGTCCAGTTCTGTTTCCTTCTCAACAGACTCCTGGATTCAGTTCAATTCAGCCTCCACATGCTGGAGTCCAGCAACGTGACCAGGGCCAGGGTAGCATGCCTGACCTTTTCTGTATTTTTCTTTGGGGGTTGGTCTCCGCCCCCTCATTTCCCACCCGAATTTCCTCCCAGGGTTGGGACTTGCCCCCTAAGGTTGAAGATGTCCTCAGAGCTGGAAACAGCAATGGTGGGGGCTCCATCACAACAACAACCAAAATTTTGACATAGGCTGAAAGTGACCCAGGGTTCATAGAGAAGACAGAAGAAGACAGAGGGTTGTTCCGGGGACCCTGCAGGATGCAGGCTCGAAGGGAAACACTCTTGAAACCAGGCTGTTTTTGGGAAGAGGGATGGCAGCCCTGGGAGTTCATGTTGGGCTCGTCTACTTTAGTGATAGATAGGAAACTGAGGTTCAGAGATGAGAGAGCCAGTGGACCAGCTGAACACTAGGCGCAGGCAGTTTGGCAGTCTTAAGGGAACACAAAGACTTTGTAGACCTGTGATAGAGCTGTGTTGGCCACCTGCAGGAGCCCAGTCTTCCTCTGTCACCTGCCTCACTCTGTAAAACCCTCTTTGGCCAGCTCTAGGGTAATCATACAGTCTCATTCCCAGATTCTGTACCCAACTTTCTGTACCTCCTCCCCACCTCAGTCACCTGGCTAACTCCTTATCCGTCATGAAACACCTAGTCAGCCCTTCCTTCTAGAAGCCCCTCAGGGACCACACAACTTCCTAGGAGCCCCTCTGTGCCTGGGTCTTTGCTGAACTCACGTAGCTGTCCCTTTAGAAAAATTAGTCTCAGAACTATCATTTGCCATCCCTAAGCCCATGAAGTCAGGAGTGGCCTGTGTCCTGGAGAAAGGGGTAAGCGTGTTCACCCTGGGAAGGCCCTGATAGTACAATTTCACTAAGCACTGATGATATATGATGATATATATTCTAAGAACCAGGTATAGATGACATCAGCTCTATCTCAGAGCAGCACTCTGCAGGGCTGGGCTTTTTGGTAAGATGCTTGGGGCCTTCACTTCCATCCCCAATACCTGCAATCCCAGCATTCAGAAGGTGGAGGCAGGGGCACGAGACGTTCAATGTCTTCCTACATATAGAAGTTGAGGGTAGCCTGGGCTACATGAGACCCTGTCTCACAACAACAGGTCTTTGAGGCTTATGGTTACTCTGATTATTCTCACCAGAGTGATGAGGGTCAGACGGGGAAGTTCTCACCAAGTATTGGATGGCTCAGTGGTGAGACTTCGGACATGGCAGTCGGGGTTCCAGGTCTGTGTTGTGCTATGGGTTTGCTTGGGTCTAGTGTCTGTCAACTGTAAACTAAGGGTTCCGGCAGCTGCTAAGACCCTCCTGGCTGCGGCTTTCAGTGGACGGTGGGTACAAGCACCCAGTGTGCCCCGGGGACTGAAAAGCAAACTAGGGCATGGGTGTGGGTCCCAGAAGGTCCTGCAAACTGTCCCCAAATGGAGCTCTCTGCGGTGGCTGTCCTGCCTGGGTCACAGGTAATCTCCATCACTGGTTTCCCCAAAGGTCCTGGGCTCCCAGCCTGGCCTGTCTCTCGTCCCTCACACCCTGCCCACTGCTTTCTGCCCTGGATGTCCCCCCACATTCTCTGCAGTGGAAAACAGACATGACAAGGAGCCAGAGGTCAGGAACTGGAGTCCCCACAGTGGACACAGCCAGAGGAAGTGGACACTCACTCTCCCCAGGGAAACATTTTTTCCCAGTGAGCAAGGTCATCCTCTGGGCCAGGTCAAAGAGGACGAGGTTCAGGGTGTTTCCCCTAAGCGCCCTCACTGAATGTGCCATGCAAGCCCTGTGCTCTCACGCAGAAGTGACTGGGAGACAGTGGATTTCTATTCCTAGGAACAGACTTCCTCTCTTCCTGATTCCATCCCAAACCTCAAAGGAAAACAATTCTCTAATGTTTCTAAGGGGGAAAAAGAATCCCAAATCTGAAAGCCATCTTTTTTTCTTTGTTTTATTGAGATTTTTCTGGAACATTTTTGAAGAGTTGTTTTCTTATGTTTAGAAGACCCAAATTGACTTTTTTGTTTGTTTGTTTTTAAATGTGAAGCATCTTTCATCCTTGACCTCATCCCTAACCCCAAGTGTCTGGAACTGGGGCCTCTGGGTATAGATTTTTGTGAAAGTGGAGGGATGTCAGAAGCTAGAGGTCATGTGTGTGTGTGTGTGTGTGTATGTTTGTGTATGTGCATATGTGTATGTATGTGTATGTGTACATGTGTATGTGTTTGTGTGTATATATTTGTATGTTTGTGCATGTGTATGTATTTATGTATGTGTGTATGTTTGTATGTGTGTGGTGTTAACTGAGAGAGGAGGGAAACAGTTTATATTTTTCTTCTCACTTTTTAAAGATTTATTTATTTTGTTTGTATGAGTGTTTTGCTTGCATGTATGTATGTACATACATATTCCAGATGGCTGTGAGCTACCATGTGGATGCTGAGAACCAAACCTAGGTTCCTCTGCAAGAGCAATAGGAGATCTTGGCCCTCATTCCTAACGGGATAGCAGCCCTTTCCTACTCCCCTGCCCCATCTGAGCCCTGTTCATTCGGCTTCAAGCCCGGTGCCCAGAGTGAAGAAATGAGTGTGTGTGAGCCCGAACCAGAGTCATGTCTAGCGTCCTAGGGAGGAAAGGTGATGCTGGGTGGTTTGCCAGGAGTTGCTAATGTCCCAGGTGAAGAGGACCTCCACTCACTTCTGTTCTGGGAATAGTCAGAGGAAGAGTATTCTCCAACTCGAGGCAAGGATGGGATTCTACATATAGATGCCACTTACTGGTGGTAGCATCCAGCCTTTCTGGTGGGCCAAGTAGTGAGACTGTCTCTAGCCCTGGGCTCTCGGCTTCCCCAACCCCCACTGCCAAGGCAGCCCTTCCATGACCTGCTGGTATGCCTTTCTAAGGTGCCATACTCCTACCCATTCAGTTACCCGATGCTCTTTGCCTGTTTGTTGGTCCTTGGGCAGTGGGACAGACATGAGGGACTAGAGGACTGACTGGCTACTGTGGTCATCCCAGCCATGTGCCTCTCAGAGCAGCCCACATAGCTGCAGGGGAAGGGTGGCTACGGGGCTCCCCTCACGTGTCTTGGCCTAGTGTCGGCCCATTCCTCCCTTGCCTCATGGGTTGAGAAGTGAGCCTCATGGAAGGAGTGGGCAGAAAGGACCACATATGACTGTCGAGCTGGTAGCTGAGATTGGAGGGGAGCCTTGAGGCCACCAGGGCGTTTCAGGTTAAAGCTGCAGAAGTGCTGGAGGCTGGGAGATGGAGGAGAGAGGAGAAGGAGCCCTTGAGGAGAGTAGGAAGGGGTTGTGGAGGGAAGAGGCTACTGTGGGATGGAGAGATGCATGGGCTGCAGAAGGGTCCTTAGAGCGGTTCTGGATCCCAGTGCCCACCTTTGAACATCTTACAATTCTATTTCTGGCAGTTGCATCTGTCCCTCCAGCTACACTCTGTACAATGGGTGACCTTTTGCTTAACAATGCTTTGCCATTTTTTTAAAAGTTATCTTCTCTTGCAGCTTGCTAATTTTGCTATGCTCAAAACTGTGTCTCAGAATTACCCAGTACCTGGCCTAAAGAATCCTCTGGGGCCCACGTTTGTTGAAAGAACTTAAGGATAGAACCTTGCATGGTGGTAAGGGAATTGCATTCATATCATGTCCTTGAACACTGAGGACACTGGACATGGGCACAGAATCATGTAGAGTCTTAGCCTGATAAGCTGGGAAAAACTGTGCCCCGAGTTCTGGACTCTGAGGTCAGAGTGCTGAGCAGGAAGGCTCCCAGTGTTGCTGAAGCTGAGGTGGGTGCATGAAGCACTCTGGGTGACTCCCTATGCCCTGAGCTATGTGCGGCAGGCCAGAGCTGGGGGTTGGTTAGCTAGGAACTTTTTCCTTCTGGGATGGTCCAGGCTGGACCCTCCCGCTCCATTCCTCACCTCGATGATATAATCTCTCCCATCCTTGCTGTGGACAGCCTTGACAGCACATATGTCTAGGCCGCCGAACATTTCTGAGCAGCTGTCCACCCATAGCCTGTACCTGCAAAGACAGACAGACTGACAGTGAGCATGGGGTAAGAAGCAAGGCAAGAGGTCAGAGGGAGACAGAGAAGGAAGACCAAGGAGTGGGGGCACTCAAGAAGCAGGGACAGAGGATGAAGAAGAGAAGGAATAAGAACCAGGAGGTCTCGGAGACCCATGGACACCCTTTGGCTGTTGTCCCCAGACCTCGACTCTGCAGCAGCAGGAAGCTTGCCTTGCCCCCATCCAGGGCCATCCTGACACCCAGCCACCCCTGCAGTCCTTTTCCCTTGGGAAAGCAGCTTGAAGGACTCTAAAAATCCCTCCAGGCTACTCTCCCTGCTCAGAGCCCCAGCCAGACAAGAGCCTGTGGGGGACAAAGGACCTCATTCTCCTGGAGTTGGGGTGGGAGGGATGTGGGGGCAGGGGAGCTCCTTCAGACAGCTCCTGACTTTCCTGGGGGCCTGGCCTTCTGGACCAATTGCTTTTGTTCCTATTCCCGTGACTGAAGGCTGCAGGGCCAGTTTGCTTTGCTGGGGACAGATCTGGGCTGTGAACTTTGACCCTGCGACAAGGGGTTGGTTGTATCTGGGGAGATCTTCTGGGCATGCACTTGGCTTTCCTTGTGGACTAGATTTGGTGGCCACAGGGGACTTTGTGTTAATGTCCTTGCTTCTCTCCTCACTCTCTGAGGTCATGCAGGACACTTGGCTCTCATATCTATTTGTGCATTTGAGCCACGTGACCTGGATGAGGAGGGAGCATGGCTGACAATTTCTAAGAACCCACTCTTTGATCGTATCCACCAGGGCCCACTGAGGCCTAGAGAGAAGGTCTCTTTCTGAGGTTATGCAGCAGGGCAGTAACATGGTCATGGTCACCTAGATCTCCAACTGGAACCCAACCCTAGTTAGAGAGATCCAACAGCAGCCAGGAGCGTGCTGGGAGTAAAAGGCAGGATAAAGACCCCTTACTGTGCCTGGCAGGCTAACTCCTCATTCTTTCTAATTCTAGCTCAAACTGATCAAGGAGGGAGGGTTGAACTCATTGCTTTCAGGAGAAGATGCTGAGGCTGAGAGAGTAATAACTAACAGTGTGGCTTCCAGTCCCAGATCGTGTCTGTGTCCAGGTTGTAAGCAAACCTCCTCCTTCCCTTCATTTGGAGCCTGCCACAGTGTGTCTGTTTTTACTTGACATGGAGGAACTGGGGAGAGAGAGAGAGAGACAGAGAGAGAGAAAGAGAGAGAGAGACAGACAGAGAGAGGGAGACAGAGAGAGACACAGGGAGAGAGAGACGAGAGAGAGACAGAGACAGAGAGAGAGACAGAGAGAGAGACAGACAGAGAGAGGGAGACAGAGAGAGACACAGGGAGAGAGGGAGACACAGAGAGAGAGAGAGAGAAAGAAAAAGAGAGAGAGAGAGAGAGAGAGAGAGAACACATATTGAGTAGGAGCACATGTATGCACAAATTGCACATATGGGTGGCAGGGCCCAAAGTGAACCTTGGGTGTTGTTCCTCAGGAGCCCCCTACCTTGATTTTTGAGGCAAGGTCTCCCACTCCATACGGAGCTCGCTGAACAGTGTAGCTGGCTGGCCAGAGAGCTCCAGTATCCTCTTGTTTCTCTCTCTCCCCAGTGTTGCATTCTGCCACACCCGCCTGGCTTTTTAAATGTGCAATCTGGGGATGGAACCCATGCCCTCATTCTTGTGTGGTAAGTGCTTTCTGGACTGACCTATCTCCCTGGCCTGTGCTATGAGTGTTTCTTATTAGTTTCTCGGTGATTTTGAACGAGCCTTTCCTTCCTGATGCCTCTGTTTCCTTCATTTGATGCTTCTTGTGCTTGGGGCTCCAAAGATAATGCAGATAAACGGGCAGCTTCTGGACTCTACCCTGCGTTATTGAGTGGTCTCTACCTATTCTCAATGCTGCATACAATGCTCTGACTGAAGCACAGCCACATTTGGCAACAACATTGATCCCTGGGGCTGTGAGAGGCTTCGGGAGCCAGGTGTTAGAGTTACTGTATTTGGTGTTGCCTCATGGGACACAACGTGCTCAAGGAGCACTGTGCCTGAGACACACTAATGAGTCAGGTTCTTCCCAAGAGAGATACAAGTCTAGACTTAGGACTGGAGGCAACTAGTTTCCAAAGGTTTTTTTTTTTTTCAAACAGTGGACATCTAAGTTACGTGTGTGCATCACCCTAGGGCCAGAAACCCCAGAGGCCAGGAAATATGGGAAAGGTCCTCCCTTCAACCAGGTAGACTAGCACTAATCAAACTGAATGAACTGTTCAGGAACCACGGAGGGCGTGGGTCTGCTTAAGGGGCTCCAGAGACTTTGGAAGTGTAGGAATGGGACCAGGGAGTTCTGCTCAGGCCATGGGCACAACTCACGACTGTCTGAGGGACAGTGCATGTTAGGCTGAGCAGACCCTGTCCTGTCTTCCAGGTTCCTGTTGGAGGGACCCTTGTGGCCTGAGACAGAGCAGAGCCACGGGATGGTGATGTGCTGGAGGTCCCCACCATAAACTTCGGAGGCCAGGGAGAGGGTAGGACTTCCTGACTGCGAGAGTCATGAAGAAGAGGGCACTGGCTGTCCATGAATGCCCCCGCCTGGGGGAGGGGTGTGCCAGGTACTTGGCACAACCTCACAAGATTAACTGGTACAAGGGAGTTCCCAGATGACAGCTAGCATCTCCAAACTGGGCCTGCTGAGAAAGGCAGGTATCCACCCTGGCAGGGTCCTCTGCCATGGTTAGCCTTTCTAACGGCATGCAGATTTACCTTCATTTTTCAGAACAAGTTCAGAACTGTCTGTTGGCTTATCTAGAAAGGGCAGAGGGTACCCACCTTGGTTCATCTGGCTTCCTGAGCTTATAGACCCTGAACTGGAGGTTCCACAGGGGCGGGGCTAATGTCTCTCTTCCCCACCACCTCCTCCAAGGCCGAGCTCTAAAACTAGTGCACAGTGACTGCTTGTGACATTGTTGTTGAGATGAAACAAAAGCTAGCTCCTTCAGGGGCCCACTCATTCAAGCTGGTACCTAGTCCTTCAGGAACCACGCTCTGGTCTCTCCTTCCCTAAATTTCACTGGGTGCCCCTTCTCCTCCTTTCTTCTCCAAGTGTTCGATGCTCACGCTGCCCTAACATTATTGTGTTCATTTGCGATTGTGTCATCCCTTAGACAAGCGGGGAAAGGTGGCTGTCTTTCACACAGGTGGGGCAATTACTTTCCTTCCTACTAAAGACTTCTCAGTGTGTGGCATTACATCCTTCCTGGGCCTCAGTCACTGTTGCTACAGAGGAAGGCTCCACTCCAGCCTCTAGAGTCGTAATTTGCCACAGGTTTACTCAAACACAATCCCACAGCCTTCTCAGCCCGTGATTGGCTTAGGGATGATCCTATGATCCCAAGCCTGGCTAAGCAGTCAATAAGGTTCCATTTCAGGCTTTGGATGAAATGACGGAAAAAGATGGTTTCTTTCTGTCGGACTTGACCCTGAGACTTTAAGCCTAGTGATGCTGTGAACCACGGTTGGAGAAGTTTGAACAGACACAACCGTGAAAGAAATGATCTCAACGGAGATGGGGTCTCAGGTCTCTCCCGAAAGCATGCCTCTTGAGTTTTCATCAACAAAAGCTACATCCCCAAAGCTCAAACTAATGAGCTATGTTCTGATGCTTACAGATGACCCCCATGGTTCTCAGAGGAGAGAATCGAGTCAGCGCCCTTTGCCGTGGCCGCTTTTCTGCTCAGGACACTGGCATGCAGTAGGCTCTCAGTGTTTACTGACCTTAGAGAGCATGCTCTGGCCACTACTGCTGCATGCTTGCAGGCAGTGTTCGGTGAACTCCTAGGGAAGGAGTGTGACTGGCTCAGAGAACAGATGCTCAGACCTCTCTCAACTGAAAAGGCTACACAGCAGTGCCCGACGGGACGAAGACCTATAAGTCCCTCAGCTACAGTGCACCCCAGAGTACACACAATTTATGGGGAACTGGCTTTTCCTTCTTCAGAAGGTCTGAGGAAGGCCCATATCCATATTTTGATGTTTTAATACAAATGTTTTCTCCCAGTTATTTGCAGGCAACTGGGGACTGATGAAGGCTTCAGTCTCTTACCTAGGCAGCAGAGCAGGACCCAGAAGGTCTCAGGACTTGAAGCCAGGATCTCAGTGTTCCTCTCTTACCTCTGGGACGCAGGGCAAACCACTTCCCTTCTCTGAAATCTTATCATCTGTAAGCATTATTTTGGCAGGTGCCCTGCTGTTGCTGCTGACCATAAGGGACAGCGAACTGGCAAATGGCTCTATGGGACACTGGTCGGAGGTTGGAGTGCCATTCTCATGGATGCTGGTGCCTCTCTCCACAGAACCTTTGTCTCTTACCTTTCCGTCATGGCCACCTGCTCCAGCATGGCAGAACCTGTGTTGGCCTTCCAGTTTCCAGAGATGGAGGTTCTCCTGGGTTAGAACAGATCACATTGAGGATATTAGGGATCTCTGCCACTAATCTGCTTTTCTTCTTCACTTTGGTGGTTAGCAGATGTTGTTTCAAACCTCTGGCCCATAATATACACAGCATTACTTTTGTATCTGTAGCCTGTCCTCAACCTGATTTTTCTTTCTGTAATTTCCATTAATGCTGACTGATTTATTTATTCCTGGATATTGTGTATTGTTTGCCAAATGTTTTTTAAATTTAAAGATTAAACTGTGTTTACTTATATTTTTGTTTATTTATTTTATGTTTTTGTGTGTGCTTTGTTTGCATGCTGTGTTCCATGTGTGTGTAATGCCCACAGAGCTTAGAAGAGAGATTCAGACCCACAGAAATTGGAGTTATGGAAGTCTATTATCCGCCATGTGGGTGCTGGGAAGCAAATCCTGGCTCTCTGTAAGAGTAATAAAATGCGTTTAACCGCTGAGCCATTTTCCAGCCCCCAGGATTAAAATTGAAATATAAAAAGGCTGCTCAGATAAAATGGCACAAACTTTGGTGCCTCAGTGTTCCCACTCCAGATCCCACATGGTAAGGCTTGACTTTTAGCATCTTGTGGTGCTATTGGGAGGTGTGGGAACCTTCAGCAAGTGATGCCTGGGAAAAGAATGTTAGGTCTTGGGGGGTCATGCCCTTGAAGGGACCTAAGTCCTTCTTGCCTCTTTCTTGGCTTCCTGACCACCATAATGTGAGCAGCCCCCTTGTTTGTTCTACCACAGACTCAAAACAATAGGCACAAGTAACCATGAGCTAAACCCTCTGAAACTGTGAATCTGAATAAACCTTTCTTCCTTTTAAGTTGATCATCTCAAGTATTTTATTACAATAATGGAAAAATGAGTAAGAGGCATGACCTCTTGCTTTTGAGGAGAACTAGGGCAGTGTACCACCTAGTGATTCTGGGATTTTTTTTTTAAATAGGTTTTTAAATGTAGGGAAAAAGATGATCTTAGGGAGGAAGTGATTACTTTCCCATGGTGAAGAGTTGGGAAGCCCTTGTGACCTCTGCCTGCTGTGCTGCTCTTCTCAGCTTCTTGTTTGGACTTTGTTCTCTTCAGCTATAACTGTCTTTCTTCTTATTGCTTGCCCATGTATGGCTTCTGTCCTACACACTCACTCTCCCCTTTGCCCCTTGTGGCCTTTATTACCACCTTTCCTTCCTAAGCCCTTGCTCATCTTTCAGGCTTCATTTGAATATGACTCCCTTGCAGCACACCTTCTTGTTCAGTCCTTATATGGCTGTCCATGCCCTGCCCTGCTTCCCACTCCTTTTCTCTCCCTGGCACTGTGCTCATCTAACTGTCCTGATGGGGGAGAAGCTCTAAAAACAGAACATGCTTTGCTCTGTCCTCTGGGCATACAGTTCCAACGGGACTCAGCATGTAGTAGGTGCCCCGTAGTTACTGACTGGGAGAGGGATGATGTATGCTGGGGAGAACCTCAGACACTTATGGATCCCTGTAAGCAGGTTCCCAATTAAATATTCTGTTTTATGGGTGTCTTCATGATATCTCTCCACAGCAATAGAACAGTAACCAAGACAGCTCATCTCTGAGAAAAGCCTAGGCAGGAGCTCAAGCAGGAAGCTGGGAAGAGGAACTGATGCAGAGATCACTGGGGATGCTGCTTACTGGTGTACTCTTTCAGTTCAATTGCCTTTCTCATACATCCCTGGCCCATCTGCCCAGAGATGGTGCCACCTACAGTAGGTAGGGTCCTCCTCCGTCAATCAGTAATCAAACAAACTCCACATATACACACTAACACGGCCAATCTGATGGAGGCCATTTCTCAACAGAGTCCTTCTTCTTAGGTATGCCTAGGTTTGTGTCAAGCTGACAAAAATTACAACAACAATGCTCACAGGGTCAGCCTACATCCTGGATATGGCTCAGTCGAAGAGTGTAAAACTGTACCCTGCTTAGGTTATTCCCTTCCTGCCTTTACTGGGTTTGAGCCAGAGGACTGCCATGGCGAATTAGCAATGGTTATGGGCTCCAGGGATGCAAAAGAAACCCCAGAGTCACTGGATGAGGCCCCAGAACCTACCTATCCATTGAGATCACCAAATGAGGCCCGAGAACCTGCCCACTGAACTATGTCTTGGCAGGTGAACAGCATTTGGCATAGCGAGTTGATGGTGGAAGAGGGTAAGAACTGAAGAACATTGTGGTGCTAACATTTCTAATAATATGCCACGGGCAGCATCTCCGAGTCTTTTAACTTCTTCCTTGGTAAAATGGGAATAACTGTAGACCTGAGTGGGGTCCTACGCGAATGAGAGGAAACATTCCCGTCAACCTCTCAGCACAAATGGCTGTGCTGTTATTTTTAGCAAGAAAAGATAAAGAAGAAGGCATTCCAAGGGCTGAAACAGCAGAAACTCAAGCCAGATTACTCTCATTCCAAAGAGGGCGATAACTGGGAGAGCTGATACCCAAGGACAGCTTTAGACATCCGAGCTGTGTATCCAAGGGCTTTATAAGTATCAGCTTGTATCAGCCCCACTGAAGGGGATGGCACCAGAGTTATCCTTCTCTCTTAACGGCAGATGCCCCAAAACTGCACTCCATAAACCCTTGACTCCATGCATAGCTCATGGAGTACATCACACATGTTTGGAAGGGCTCCTGTCCTTGACTTGAATGAGATGCAGCCAGTGGGATGTAGGATGAAATGGAGATTGTTGTTAAAGCATCCACCTTGGCTATAATCACCTTTATTTATTTGGGCTGATGTAAGGGAGGACCATTAGCTGTGTGATTTATAGACAATGACTCATTTCTTGTAGTCTGGAGGCATGGAAGTCCAGGTTCAAATTGCCTAAAGGTTCATGTTTGATGATGACCCATTTTTTAGTCTGTGCCTTCTTAGCATGTCTTCATGTAGCAGATGAAGCAAGGGGCCCTTCAGAGTTCTTTTTTTTTCCTAAGAACATTGCCTTAATTGTTAACTTGTTACAGCCTAGAATCACCTGAGAAAAGGCATCTCAGTTGAGAAACTGACCAGATTGGACCAGCCTGTGAGCATGTCAGTGGGGATTGCCTTATTGTTAATTAATATAGGAGGGCCCAGCCCACTGTGGGCGGCACTATTCCCTAGAGAGGTGGTCCTTGGCTGTATAAGAAAGCTAACCAAGCGTGGGTCTATAAGTCAGCCAGCAAATAGCATTCTTCCAGGGTCTCTGCTTCAAGTTTCTACTTGAGTTCCTGCCCTGACTTCCCTCAGTGATGGAAGGGAAGTTGAAATAAATTCTTTTCTTTTTCCCCTAAAGTTGCTTTTGTTCAGAGTGCTTTAGCACAGTAGCAGAATGGAACTAGAACAAGCACTGGTTGCTTTCTGGAAGGTTCTACCCTGATGATATAATCCCCTCTCTGACCCATTTTCCTAAGATAATCTAGAAGGGGTGGATTTTCAATATGAATTTGGGGAGAGGGTACTTAAGATCAAACATACAACCTTGGAGGTGGAGGAGAAGCTTCTGGCTGAGCAACTTTGGACAAGAGTGAAGACTGAACGTCATGATACTTTCTACAAGCCTGTGCTGGGGTTGGTAGAGTTGTTTCCCACTGTTTTAGGCACAGTTCACATGGATGGGAGTCAAGTGAGTGACAGACGGGGGAGAGTCAGCTTTTTCTTAACCGGCAGAGGAAGAATAGACAGCAATAAGGAAGGCACAACTGAGCCACATGGTACTGGATGAAAGTCCAGACAGCAGTATGACTTCATTAGAGGGTTATACATGCAGATGGATATATAGAGAAATAATCACAGATGCTTGTATCCAAGCGGGCAAATATGCATATGTATGTCCCGGCTGTGCATTAGGAGAATTTGCAAGCAGTGACACCTCTGTGTTAGCAAGCAGAGAGGCCTGAGTGCAGAGCAGGATGTGGGCCAGAGGAGGGTGAACGGTTATGGGCAGGGAGGACATTCGCTGCTCAAGTGTGGTATGAGCCCCATCCCTTGGCTGTGGACCAACCCAGGGTCCAAGAATCTCTGTAACCAATGACAAATTGGAGCTGTCAGGCCAGAAAGGTTCAAAGAATGCAGCAATGAGGTAATCCTCAGAAAAGAAACTGGGGCAAGGTGACATCAATGACAAATGCAAATTCTAACAAGGAAAGAAGGAAGGAAATGACACCACGGTGCCTCAAGAATGCCTGATTAGGGGCGGCGTGCGAGGGTGTGTGTGTGTGTGCATGCGCATGCGTGTATGTGTGTGTCTGTATGGGAGATCTAATCACTGAGACACTCCGAGAGAACATGTGAAAGCAGTAACAGCTCTGGCCTGCCCTCGGGGAAAGAACTGGGTGGTTGACTGATAGGATGGAAGAGAACTATCCCTTGGAAACTGGCTTTATCTCTTTTTTGGGACTGTGTCCTTATTGGTCAATTACATGTGTCTTTTCCAGTGTCTCAGGAAATGGTACAGTTGCCACCAAGGGCATGGGTCTCAAAGCCTAAAATCTCCCCTATCCATACACACACACACACACACTCTCTCTCTCTCTCTCTCTCTCTCTCTCTCTCTCTCTCTCTCTCTCTAATATATACATACATACATACACACACACACACACATATATACACTTATACATATATTGTACTTGTTGAGGCTGGGGGGAACCCTGGGTGTCATCCTCAGAAATCTGTTTCCTTTGCAACAAGGTCTTTAATTGGCCTGGAGATCACCAATTAGAATAGACTGACTGGTCAGGGAACCCCAGAGTGTTTGGATTACAAGAGCTTATGACCATACCTATTACTTTTGTGTTTTGAGAAAGGGCCTCACTATGCAACTCTGGTATCCTGAACCTACTATGTAGACCAGGCTGGCCTCCAACTCACAGAGATTCACTTGCCTACCAAATACTGAAACTGAAGGTGTTCACCACCACACCCGGCCTCATACCTCATACTTTTATGTGGGATCTGGAGATTGAACTCAGATTTTGGTGCTTGCAAACAAAATGCTTTACTCATTGAACCAACCCCACCCAGACCTATTTAAAATCACACACACACACACACACACACACACACACACACACACACACACACGTGAGTGAGCATGGAAACCAGACATCAATCTTGGTATTGTTCATCAGGAACCATTGACCTTGGTTTTTGAGACAGAGTCTCTCACTGTGACCTGGGGCTTGCTAACTATGTTAGACTGTCTGGGTAGTGAGCCACAGGGATCCTCCCCAAGGCTAGGATTATAATCATGCACCATCACATCTTTTTAGATGGATGCTGGGAATCGTACTCAGGTCTTTATGACCTATCTCCCTGGTCTCTACCTGGCTCTTTACACAAAGACATGTTTTTCCAATGGGCAATCCAGGTAGCAAAAGGTCATGGCAGACAATGCATTCGCAAATAGGCACAGCTTTGATTGACTTGACATCTTAACAGAAGCAGGTGACAGCTTGGCTTGCCCTCAGGATTCTCAGGCAAAAGCTATGCTGCACAGATAGACAACACATGGACAGACAGACTGTCCAACTGTCCATGGCTGATCACTGCAGTTTCCTGTTATGGAGCTGTGCTCACAGTCAGTGCTGCATAGAGCTGACTGTTGGGTCTCCTCGTCTGAAGTGGAACCAGGAACAACATTCCAAAGTGAGGGGCACAGAGACCCAGACACAGGTAAGACCTTTTCAAGAGACAGCCTTTCCTCCTGCTCTAGAGTCCCACTGAAACGGATGGCTTCAGTCCCAGGTTAGCTCTTCATTTGCCGACTCACCTTGAAGCAAATGCAGGGGGCTGCCTTTGTCACCTGGCATTCATAGCTCTTCCTTTAGAGGCAGCACCTCCACTTCTGCCCGGTCCTGATCTTGCTCAACTTGCCTGCCTTCCTGCTTGGATTTGCCATAGTGGTTTTCTGCCTCCAACCAAAATGGAAGCGACAGATCACACTCTGAGATAAGTGCTTCAAAAAGACTCTAGTGAATTCTTCATCCATCGGCCCCGTGAGCATCAACCACACACACTGCTATGTACATGGGGCTGCCCTGAATCCCAGTGCTTTCGAAATCATAAATTTAGCAGGATTTTGGTTTGTTTTTTTAAACTTTCCAATTACCCATGATTTTCTAGTGAATTTCCTTAAAAACAAAACATGTAGGATTCAGAAGCAGTTTTTGTTGCTTGCAACCAGAGAATTTGGCGTGACTTCCTAATGAGACTTGTAGGTTCCAGAAAATAACAGATTGCTTTTCCATACACACCAGGCCATGCAGCTTCATACCGAAGAGAATTCCAACCCTTCAGCAAGGACTCCTTGATTTGCACAAATCTACACACACACACACACACACACACACACACACACACACACACCTTTATAGAGAGGTCTATCAGGCTAAGTTGCAATAGAAGCAAAGGACAAACAAACACAGCATCATGGTAGAAGCAGGACACTCCCACCTTCCTCCCAGTCCCTGCCCACTGACTCACATGTATGCCTTGTAGTTGGATCCGATCTTCTGTATGCGGATGTCATACTTGGAGTCGATAAAGGCTTCAGTGGTGGCATAGGTTTTGGCCATGGCCACCACACTAGTGATGTCCTGGTAGGCATGCTGGTTTTCTACTTTGATCTGTGGGGTAAGGGGGATATGTGAGTGTGGCTGCCCAGGCCAGGACAAGGTGCTCCATCCAAGAGAAGGTCACCTGACTTGCAGGGACATAGACGCAGGAGGTGAACAATCCCACTACCTGCTTTCCCAAGGAACAGAAAAGGAAGGGGCTGGTTCCAGCTGGGAAGGCAGGGGCTCTTGAGAGAACAGGTGAGCTCTGAAGAGGTTCAGAATGATTAATACTTTTATTTTGCTTGGACAAAGGGTCTCTCTATTGAAGTCCAAATGTTCCCTATGTTGATTAGGTTGACCCCAAATTTGTGGAGATCCTCCTGTCTCTGCCTCCTGAGTGCTGTGCTGGATTAAAGGCATACACTACCATGAATATACATTCCGAATGTGTGGCTGACTGGCGATGTGGAGGGCGGGGTCATAGGGAACATTAGGGCCTCTAGGGAAGAATAGCTGGTCACCTGGTTGCTGGGGATAGGAAAGTGGGCACAATGGTTGGGTGGCATCCTAGGGAACAGGTCCTGCTAGCTTTGATCAGATGCGCAGGTTTCAGGCAGAAGGTCCAGATGCCACAGAAAGAGATCAGTATTTAAAGGAGCAAGTGCCTTAATTTGTGTTTTCAGAACAATCACTCAGTTGTGTAAGGGGTTGAATGGGGGAGTGTGGTAGGCAACAGAGAAACCAGTTAGAAAAACATGGTGTGTGTGTGTGCCTGTGTGCATGCATGTGCTGTGTTTGCATGTATTTAGTGGATGCTACATGTATAGTATGTTTTTGTACACTCATTGGTATTTACTGTGTTTATACCTGGTGTGTATAGAGTAGTGTGTACGAGTGTGTGTTTGGATATGTACATGCAGTGGACAGGTTGGCTTTGTAGTTCAGAAGCTTGTGGGAGACACTTGCCCTGTTTACTGGGTTGAGGCCAGGACCACAGAGTGGTGTCTCGAGGTAAGAAAAAAGTCTCAAGAGAGCTCCCAAGACCAAGGGCAGGGTAAAAGGTCAAGGCTCTGTGGCATCAAGACACTGCAGAAGCTGAATCTTAGAGTCTGTGAAAAACAGGGTGGAGTGCCCCTTCCAGGTGGCCACAGGGTGCTACTTGTCTAGACTGGTCTTCCTGGCTTCCTCACATTGTCAGTGGAACATTCCAATGCTGGATCAGAGGCAGGTAGAAGCCCCAGAGCGCTGAGCGCAATGGCAGTCTGTCTGGATGGAACAGGAGAAGAGTGGGACTGACCCTCAGGAGTACATTCTTCTTCTTTCCCATGCTCCCTGCTCTTTGCATCTCTGCTCTGAAAACACTATCGCTTCTACGGTATCTTCCATTCACATTTGTAACAAGTGTACAAAGGCACCTGCAGGGGCAAGGCACGCCAGCTACATATATGGTCTTTCTGCAGAGCTGAATCTTAGAGTCTGTGAAAAACAGGGTGGAGTGCCCCTTCCAGGTGGCCACCATGGTACGGACTGAGTTGTCTTTATCCAAAGTCAGTGCATCTGAGCGCGGTGCCTACAATTAAATCCTGACCCAAAGGCCCAGCTTTGTTACTAACCAGCTCAGGCCTTTGCAGGTACAGACTTTCTTTTCTCCATGAGGGATTCTAAATAAGCAAGCCTTGGCAAGCCTTCTTTCCTCTTCACCCTTGAAAAACACAGCCTTCCAGTAATGAAGCTCAGGCACATGTTGCAGAGAAAACAAGGTCAGCCAGGAAGATGTCCCTACGTACAACCCACTTTCCAGCTCACAGCCTCCCCTTCTCTTTCCAGCTGTAACAGGGGCAGAAGTGTACCTTGTTCCTTTGTCTTAGGTCTCCCGAGGCTCTGATGTCTGGCTGTCCCTACTCCTTTTAGCAATAGGACCCTTCAGTTTAAGCTGAGCATCTGGTCTCCAAGAAACAGATGCTTTCCTTCTAGTATCCTTTCCAAGTGGATGTGGTGAACTCTTTAAGTTCTAGCCAATGAAAATCAAGTAGCTGTGGTGTGAGTCACCTCTTAGTGGTCCCTGAATGTTGTATGGAGAGGTGGAGAGGGCCCCTTGTTTGTCCCCCCCCCCCCTGCTAGCTTACACCTGAAATAGCCACAGAGAAACTGTATTAATTAAAACACTGTTTGGCCATAAGCTCTAACTTCTTAATGGCTAACTCTTACATATTAGTTTAACTCATCTCCATTAATCTTTGTATCGCCACGTGGCAGTGGCTTACCAGAGATTCTAACCAGTGTCCCTCTCTGGTGGAGGATCCATGGCTTCTCTGACTCTGCCCTTCTTCCTCCCAGCATTCAGTTTTGTTTTCTCTGCCTACCTTAAGTTCTGCCCTATCAACTAGGCCAAGGCAGTTTCTTTATTCATTAACCAGTGAAAGCAACACACACACAGAAGGAACTCCTACACCACCTGAAGGTGAAGAGTCCTTCCTTTCCTCTTCCCTTCTTCCTTATGGCTGTGATACAGATGTGATAACGTGAGCAGCAGCAGTCACAGAAGTCATGTGTTGAGCGTGGTGGAGTGATAACATGGGGGGAACCTGGGTCCCCAGTGTTGTAAACCCCCCTCAGTACTTTGTACCGACAGAATCTTGCAGAGAGAGCAATGAACTTGGTTAAGATGCTGTTGCTTTGATTTCTGTTAAAGAAGCTGTCATTTCGTTTCAATCTCATGTTTGGTACATTTTTCATGATGGGACAAATCCAAAAAGGATCTGCCACCTGCTACTTGGCACTTTGGGTTCTCGCCACTCTCTCGGATGACTCTGGGTCTTTGTGGTCTTCTTCGCTCAAGCCATTGTCCTCAGGTCTAATTCTCTTCCATCACACCAACGTTGATTCAGCCTCTGTATTAGTTACTTGGAGCACTGCTATGTAAAAAACCAACAGAAGCAACCTGAAGAAGGAAGGGTAGGCTTATTTTGGCTCATAGTTTGAGGGAAGAGTCCATCCTGGCTGGGAAGTCATTGTGGAAGAAGCATGAGGCGGCCAAATCACATTCCCTCTACAGCCAGGAAGCAGAGTTCTGAATGCCGTTGTTCACCTTGCTTTCTCCTTTTTATCCAGCATGACAGTTAGGATAAATAGATGGATAAATTGAACCTCAATGAACCTCATCTAGATAATCCCTCATAGACACACCCAGAGGTTTATCTCTAAGATGATTATAGATCCCGCCAAGCTGATAAGCAACATAAACCACCCCACCTGCCTCGCTGGAGATCTGTAGAGTTCTTTGAGTTGCGTCCTGCTCTGGGTAGCATGAACTAGGAAAAGCTTTGAAGTTTGGTTTGCACACCACTGTTCTTTCCTTTCTGGTGCCTCCCTTACAGTTGACAGTGCCTTGTCTCCCTCCAGTGCCCTTTGGATGGTCTAGGGCTTCATCCTTAGTCAACGTGTGGGTTCAGGTGCAGGGATTCAAAGTTATCAGCATGAAAGATCCCAGGAGAGAGCTTGTTACAGGGAGGACCTGTAAAGCACAGCCATGCTTCCGTCACCAGTGGCTTTGGAAAGAATAGAGCTTCTGTTCCATGGCTTCCCAGACCACACAGGAGGCATGCATCGTAGGCTGCCTTGGAGAGGTCTGCTGTCCACAGCACCCTTTCTCTTCTGACCCGAAGACACATGGCCATCGGAATAAATACCGCACTTTCCCTTTCCCCAGCACCTTAGTGTGTCCGTGTGACAACATCTTGGTGCTTTTGTGTCATCAAAGAAGGGGGGGGGGGGTTGAACTGTAGGCCAGGGCTGGCTTTCCCCTCGCTCTTGTCCTTTTCCTGCTGGCTGGGATGTGGCCCACCATTGGCTTCATGGATAACAAGTGGATGATTCACATGGTGGAAGGAAACCGGTCCCTCGAAACCAGGGAGGCTCCATACCAACCCTGGGTTTCTTTTTACCCAGTTCCATTAGGGGAAACAGAAACTTCTAGTTTGTTTTGACAATTAGACTTTATCTCAATCACAATCTAAACCTTAAAGCGCACCTCGGATTTTGTTCATAGTGGGGACAAAGAGAACCAAAAGGGAAAGTGTCGATAATTATAGCTTCAACAGTGAGCCAGTGCGTCAGCCCACCTTCCTGTCTGAATAGTTGGGGAGAGGGGGAGTGTCACTCATTCTGCCCCCTCCAGAGCTGGCATAACTCTTTCTGGGTTCTTTCAAAAGAGTCAAATGTCCCTAGCAACAGGCTGATCTTTCTTTTCTTTGCTTTGCTTTTCTTTTTATTTCTTTTCTTTTTTCCTCTTCCTTTCTTTTTGTTACAGAGTGTTCCCTAGACTGTACAATGCTGGGGTTTCAAAAAATAAAAATCCTGGCCCTGCCCTGGGTCTTCTGTGCCTACCTCCCTTTAGATGCTGAGCTTCTCGGGGATGGACAATGATTTTTGTTCAAAGTCATAATATTCATGCGTGACACAGTGTCGGTGTTAAAAGGTGTTTTCTGGAAGGAATGTAAGAAGCTGGAGGGAGACTAGAACTTAGAGTTGGGAGAGTATCATGGCAGTGGAAGACATCCGTGAGTCAGAGAACGAAAGAAAGTGTGCTTTGGGGGTGTACATTTTTTCCATCAGGGATGTGTGTGTATCCACAGTTGGTGCTATGAAGCATCCTCAGTCATGGTCCACATTATTCACAGAAGTCTCTCAATCAAGTCAGAGCTCACCCACACAGCTAGTCTTGCTAGCCAACTTTCTCAGGGCTTTCCCATCTCTGCCTTCAAGGAGGAGCTCCTTGATGGAATTACAGGCAGGCTGCCACGCTCACCCACCACTTACAGGGGTTCTGGGGATCTGAACTCTAGTCCTCACGGTGAGGCCTTAACCATGGACCCATCTCCCCAGACCCACACTGTACAAGTATGTCTTTTTATAAAATGAAGTTTTTCGGATGTCTAGGCTGGATCGACCCTGTTAGAGGGTTATAGCTTCTGTTAGACATTCCTGGGGACGAAATGGAATCAGGGATCCTGGAGAGGACTGAGGGATGGTCCTTAGGCCGGGGATGGAGGGTGTTGAGGGCCATGAGA